TGTGCACAGATTGAGATTGAAAGTTAACCAAGAAACTGCTACACAATTGGTCGTCCGGGATCACATGGAATCATTCTTGGTCCACAAGAAATCAATTCAGGCCCCAAGCCAAATCCGGTCACCACCATCCTTTAGATCTTGCTTGAAATCCAAGTCAAAAGCCAAAAAGCAAAGCCGGAAAACTAATGGTATAACTTTAATAAAAGTAACTATCCGTGTGAAGAAGATGTCAGGTCATGCGGAGCTGTTAAACGAACCGAGCTGTTCGATAGCTCGATTCATTTCGACTCGTTCGTGTTCGTGAAAGGCTCGTTCGAAATTTTAAACGAACCGAATTCGAACGAATTTTTTTGTTCGATTAATAATCGAGCGAACATGAGCATGTTCGCGAATTTTAACGAACGTTCACGAACATGCTAAACGAACGTTCGCGAACACGAGTTTTAACGAACGTTCACGAACATGAACATAATTATCATTTGACAAATTTTAGAGTTAATTTTATCGCTGGACTTTTATATTTGGAGGGCAAATTGCTTTGTTTTATTTGTTATTTTTATGTTAATGTTGTTATATAGTTAATGAATAATAGAATTTAGTCACTTAGTTGCTTTAATTATTTTTGAGAATGATTAATGATTTGCATGGCATATTTAAGATTTAAAATAATTTGGATTCGAACATTTCGAACATGTTCGCGAACGGCTCGTTTATGTTAAACGAGCCGAACACAAACTCGAATTCGAATACGAATTTTGTTTAACGAGCCGAACACGAACACAGATTTAGAATTCGAAAATAAACGAACGAACACGAACGTTGTTCGAATCGCTTAACGAATAGAGCTCGAACATGAGATACTCGGTTCGAATTATTTAGGTTGTTAATTCATGCCCTCCTCTTTTCTTTCCCTGGAGTGCGGTGGAGGAATTTGGTAACTTCGGGCAACTTCTTAGAGAGAATACTTGAATTCTGTTTGGCAAATAAGTTTTTTTTATCGAGTTTTTCGGCTATAAGTGTTTTAATCATTTTAGTTTAATAATTTCTTAAAATTTCTTAAAATTTTTAGACTATATATTTCAAAATATTAAAAAATTTACATATTTCAAAAATTTTTCTATAACGTTTATAATAAGTTACAGTAAGATTTTATATGAATATTCAAAAAACTCATTTGCCAAATGGGCTATGGTTTCAAACAAGTCGAATAAATACTTCATTACCATTATATGATATAGACGCATGCTGCATGTGTAGAAGAGAATTTTAGGATAATAAATATGTATTTAGTCTTGCTAGTGTGCATCCAAAAGCCTAACTTAACTCCTTGGAACATAGTTATTAAACCCGTCCCGAGGAGGAATCAGGTGAAAGAGGTGGGTGAACGGGTTACTGGTTCAACCAGTGGGTGAGTGGTCCAATCGGTGGATCACTAAATATATTTAAATATTATATCTCATAATTTTTATGCCATAATAAATATTCAATTAGTCTAATTTATTATTAAATCATTAATTCTTAAAAGAATTAACAACCTAAATTTAATTAGTAATCTGCCAAATTTCAAATATAAAATTTTATCTAAGTGTAATTATCTAGTTTATTTATGAATTTTAAGTGCAAAAGTTTATTAAGAATAATATTTGCCTTTAAAGGAATTATGTTATATGTTATTTTTTAAGTCAATTTCATAATTTATAGAGTTTGGGGAAAAATAAAATGTTATTAAAAGATTTCAAATAAATTTTGTTTTGGAGAAATAAAATAAAAATAAAAGTCTAATATATAGCATAAGAAGGACAAGATAACAACAAATAGGTAGTTGGTCCAGTAGTGATTGTATTCTATCAGCATGCATGTCATTTGTGTTCGAATCTCCATTCTAGCATCTTCATAAAATTTTTCCATGTAAACCGGGTTCCTCATAAAACCGACCAGTTCATCGGGTTCATGGTTGAACCGCTGATCCGTTGAAAAGTCAACGAATTCAATGCAAAAACGATCTAATTGATAACTCGGCCTGGTTCATTGAGTTGACCTATTGAACCGCCGGACTGGGCCAGATTTAATAACTATGTCTTGGAATATCAGCTAGTTTGGAGACCGTAAGGTCCCTAAATCAACTCTCAATCTCTCTTTTTTTTCTTTTCTCCTCTATTTTGGAATTTGGTGTCTCCTTTAAATGATAAAAAAAATCCACTAATGTAATAAAGTTATTACACTAGAAAGATTAATCCCTAAATATTTATTTGTAATTAATACACGAGGAAACAACCCGTTTGCCCCTTAAACTATCCGCTTTGCTCGGTTTTGACCCCTCAACTATAAATTATTTGAAATAAGCCCCTCAGTGAAAAAAAAGAAGTCAAGTTCAAGGATTTCTATTAATTTTGAGCGTTAATATAGACGCAATGAGGGCAAAATTGATCAATTAGAAATCAGTCTAACTTTTGGCCCCTAAACTAATGCTATAGGACTGTTGTGCTATACTATTGTTTTAACCCCTAAACTAATCCCACAGCATTGTTTTATCCCCTAAAGTATTTCCACGGCTCTGTTGTGGCCCCTCAAAAAAGTTGACTTCTTCCATTGGATCGGTATTGCCCTTCATTCCATCACCACTAATACCTAAAATTAACAAACAGTCCTTAAAAATGATATATATATATATATATATATATATATATATATATATATTTTATTCAGGGACTTATTTCAGACAATTTATAGTTGAGGGATCGGAACAAAGTGAATAGTTTAGAAGTCGTGCGGATTGTTTCCACTTAATACATTCATGATTATATTGAGGCAGATTAATTTGCACTTCAATTTTATCCTCTCTCCCAGATAACTTTTTTTTATTTTTTTTATTTTGTCACAAAGTTGGCCCTCAAGCCCAACTGGTCACATTCTCACCATGATTAAACCCCTTCCCTTGTCGATGATGCCACTGCTCTTTGTAGCTCCGAAGGGTTCTTCCCACCATGATTTCTCAAGTTGAATCCAATTCTAACCCGCCCCGCATGAGCAGCGCAAACACCTACCAAGATGTATCATGGCCGCACCCAAAGATTGATTGAACGTTTAACATGATTTTAAAGGACAAAATAACTTAAAAAAAAAACATGTTTAGTTGTTTAAAATGGGTTAAGTTTTTTTTTTTCTTTCTCAATGGTAAAGTTGGTTTTCGTGATGTCCAGTTACAACGTCTGCCCAAAAAAAAAAACTTTCACATCCATATAAAAATCTAACAATTTTTTTTTAGTATAATTGTTTTTTCGCTTTTACTTCCTCCTCTAAACTATTCAACCCATCTTCCCTCCCCCAGTATCAGTATCTAACGTATTTAACCATTGTACTGTGCCCAAAAGTAATTTAAGTGCGTAAAAACTGCAGATGCATATCAAAATGGGCTTTTCAGGATTTAACCCAAAAAAAGTAAAATGAACAGAAAATGTGTGCAAGTATTGAGGTTGAACCGACAAATGGTGAAAAGTTTGAGGTTGAACCGAGAAATTATTAGATAACTTGTGGAGCCCAAAATGATTCCCAGGGTCATCGATGCCCCAAGCCAAAGCCTGTCATCGCGGCAGAGTTATCTTTTATCGTCCTTTGGATCTTAGTACAAGTAGAAATTTAATAAAACCAACCGCCACTGTGCAAAAAAATGGTAGGTCATGCCCTCCTCTTTTTCTATCTCTCGAGTGCGTGGAGGAATCTGGCAACTTCCAGCGACTTCTTAGAGATAATACTTAAGCGTGAAGTAGTTTGAACAAGTTCTTCCTCACCTTTTGAGGATTCCACCAATGATTGTACTTTTTTTTTTTTTGGTCAATCAGGAGTATCCATGTTTGATCAGACAAATCTCTTTGGACCTAAAGTACCCCGCCCTCAAAAGCCTAAAATACCCCGCCCCCAAAAGCAACTTAGACGATAGGAGAAGCCAGACTCGAACCTGCGTCGCATGACCCAGAGGGCCATCCGACAACCGGCTGAGCTGACCTTGAGGGGCACCAATGATTGTACTTAAGTGATGGTTTTTATAGTAAAGTGTTCCAATTCATAACGTAGAGACTAAAGCAAGATTAAGGTATCAATCATTTTTAGTTAGTTCATTGAGTCTTATTAAGTAGTACATAAATTACATATATAGGTTTAGAGTTCATGTAAATTTTCAAAATGCTTCATTGTCTAATCAAACTCAATACATCAAACCCGAATTCAACTCGATTGGGCTCGAGCTTGAGTCTGCTCGAATCCAAACAAGTCGAATTTGAGCATTTTAGAAATTTTAATGAATTGAGTTTGATTTGTAAAATTTCAAACTCAGATCGAATCAAGCTCGATCTCGATCAATGCTACATCAAATCGAACTCGACTATAACACTGCTCAAGATCGACTCGACTTGTTTGTACCCCTGTATTAGTGACTCAAACAGTTATAACCTTCTTTGTTTCCAAACCGATTGACGTAATCAATAGCTCAATATCCAAGTTGCTGATGGGAACTGATTTGTAACGAACACATGTCCAATGGTTATTGAACTGTTACTAATTTGTTATGTCTATATTATTGTTACATAATTTTTTCTATCAAACGCATTATTGTACTAACGTATTTAGACAGGTAGACGGGATCTTGGACTATTTTTTGGTCATGTAATCGCCTATACTTCTTTGTTGAACCTTTCAAAGAATGGAACCTTTTACGAGGAGGACTTCGATCATAGCAAGGGTTTACAGGAGGGTGGCGGAAGGCTTAACACATGCTTATGTTACTCTGGACTATGTTTAGATGCAGATAATGTTGGGACTACACTTTTGATCTCTAACATTGTACTTAGATTTTAAAACAATTATGTTGTGCATGCAGTTTTTGTAAATAGGTTTGATCTTAAGAATTGTATGGATGGAGCGTTACTTGGCTAAGGTTGTAATTACCGTAAATGGCTAAAGTGTAAGTTAATATGAGGTTTCAGTGGCTAATTCCACTCAGGGTGTGGCATAATTAATTATGCACAGTAATCTGGTATAGAATTTCCCCCAAATATAGTAATATGTTACAGAAACTCCTCAAGGCTTTCAAAGCAACTAACATACGGACATATAGCTGTTGTGGACATATATATAACAGAGATTTTCCAAACAGTTTCAAAACCATTATTTGAAACCATATTACAAGGATACATGGCAAGAATAATGTTCACACGCCTCAAATGTTTGCCATGACGAACAAAAAACCTTAAAACCAGTTGGAAAAGCTTGACAATAGTAGTACCTATTACCCAATCACCAAACACATCAAAAAAGGACAAATGCTTTGTTAGACGTGCATAATTGGTATTTCAGCTTCACTTGGCAGCTGACGCAGCCAAAATAGAAAAGATCAGCTCCAAACAGACATGTCAGGAGTTTCCACAGGCCTTCAACGAACGAACATAGAGTAAACGTTTATGGATCAGTCGTTCTATAATGAGTTCTTTGGTACGTCATGATGGTGTTGCTGCACTAATCTTTGGTGACTAATAAGAAGAGTGATATTAGAGTGACTAACCAAACTTGCTGGCCCTGGCTTATATCTCCTCTTCGATCATTCCCAGTCCCACATATTTTGCAGGAATGAAGGCAAAACATCTGCAAGATTCAGAAACAAAAATGAGAAATGTCGAAGCGTTTCTACCTTACAAAATAAAAACTTTCACAAGTATTTGGATGAAAGATTAAGAGGGAGTTAGAGAAGAACTTGAGTCTGCAAAAGTTGAATGCTCTTTTGCCTCGAATAATGACACCGCCGTGCTGGTTTCTGTCGCAGATGACTTTCGCATAGGTCATCAGGTGGAGTGGAAAGATGTAGTTACCTGTCCAAACTCCATTTGCATACACCATTACTAATACTTTGTCAAAATCAAGAAGACCCTGTTTGGCCGTTACTCTTGTGGTTCCACCTGGCTTTATCCTGATAATTTTCTCAAATTTGTCAGGTCTAGCAGGGTGAACCCACATCCTGAGTTCTATGCTGTAGTAAGTCCTGTTTTCTAGTATACTAAGCTTACCGCCCATTTTTCTATGCAACCCACAACCTGAAACTAGCTAGAATTTGCAAAGACGAAGGCACATAAAAAAACAAACAATCAGATTATAGACTAGCAGTGCTCGTGTGCTGGTGTATGCGCTGAACTCTGAGAGGGAGAAAGATCGGAATAGTTCTCACAACCTGAAACTCTCTAGAATTTGCAAAGACGAAGGCACATAAAGAACAAACAATCAGATTAAAGACTAGCAGTGCTCGTGTGCTGGTGTATGCGCTGAACTCTGAGAGGGAGAAAGATCGGAATAGTGCTCGTGTGATGGTGGTGTTAGCAAAAACTATTTGCTTGTAATATCCTTAGGTCTAAAATGTGAGGAAAGTGGCCGCCTTCGATGCCTATGGCACTACTAATTTATAGAGGAAATTTGTCCACTGTTTCTCAACTCAATTAAGTGAGAGATTGAACCAAATTAATTAAGGGCCTTTCTCTGGGTTTTGCATTAACTGATTGTGGGATGTGACTATAAAGAAGAATCAGAATATGATAAAATTATACTTGGTTAGACTCTAGATATTAACCTTTTTTTGTCTACTAAAATCTAAAATTTAGATGCTAAACCAAGCTAGAGTATCAAAAAAAAAAACTTGTATTCAAAATCAAACTCTAAACTCAGGTGAAATAATCAAACGAGAATAGGCCCGTAATCCCCCTGATTAGTAAATGGTAATTTTGTGTAACTTCCTAGATTTCCCCAGAACAGACTTCAAAGATCACACTTGGGATCCTCGGTGACATGTTTTCTATGCCAACCCAATGCCACCTATAATATTATGTCAAGTGTCCTGTTATTATTTACACTTTAATTTTCTAATAATTCAACTTGATTTGGTTTAACACAAGTTTCTAATAATTCAACTTGATTTGGTTTAACACAAATGTAAATAATAACAGGACACTTGGAACAATACTATAAGTGACATTGGATTGACATAGAAAAACATATCATCGAAGATCCCAAGTGCAAAGATCAGGTCAATGGAATTATGGGGTCAACTAATAAGTCAAAAACTGGAGACTTCAAAGAAGTTTTCTCGAATATTACACTCTCTGCAGAAAATAGTCACATCCGAGTAAGTATCAAATGCGTGCTACCGTGTGTTACTGTACAACAAACTGTGAGTTATGAAAGGGTGTTACTGTACTATAAAAGCTAAAACGTGTATAAACAGTAAACACTACTGTCACTGCATATTGGATGGGATAGGCATCTTATGATTTGAGCGAGAAGAGAATAATATGAAGGCATAATTTCAGAAACTTCTCTTGAGATTTCTGACTATTTCACTCAATTTCTTTGAAATTTTAAAAATTACATTGACCTTTCTTAATTTGACATTTTAATAACTAAACCTTAAAATAAGGTCAAAAATTTAATGAATATTCTAAAATATCCTTAACTTATAAAGTTTAATTCATTTTTCTAAACAATTATAAAGTAATTTGACATAATTATTTTGAAAAAAAAGTCTCAAGTTTTTCATGCCAATATTTGTTATTTAATAATTAACTATAACAATAAATCTTTTGTTATGATAAGATATTTTTTATAGTGTTTTATTAGGAATATAGATTCTTTTTAAGATAGAGAAGAAAGTATTATATTGTGTTTTTTTTTAATTTATGGACTATTTTTTAATAAAAGTTTATGGACTAGTTTAATGATGGAACTACCATAGTTTGATAGTGATTTTGGGCCATTTATTTTTAATTATTGTTGATTTATTCTTAATTTTGATACAAATAAAAAGAGTTACAAAAAAATTGGATGATATTAAAGGTCATCAAAAAAATTACTAGTTTAACAGTTAATTTGGATAGATATTAGTGACAACATTGATAGTTCTTCTATACTTGTAATGAAATATAAGAGAAATGAACAAGAATCAAAAAAGAAAAAAATTATAAAATCCATCCCTTCATATAAACATGGCAACAAGAGAGTTTAATTAAAACATTAAGGTAACACTTAAAGGAGCCACATGTAATTATAAAAAATCTCAAGGGAGGTTTATGAAATTATCCCTAACGTGAAATGCAAAGAAAAAGCGTGCACACACGTACAATTGGTCGGCCGTCCCAAGATCATATGAAATCATTCTTGGTCCACACGAAATGAATTCATGCCCCAAGCCAAATCGGGTCGCCATCCCCCTTTAGATCTTGCTTGAAATGCAAGCAGGAATTGAAACGTCAAAAGCCAAAAAGCAAAGCCGAGAAACTAATGGGGAGCATAATAACTTTAACAAAAGCAACTCTCCGTGTGAAGAAAATGTTAGGTCATGCCCTCTTCTCATTTCTTTCTGTGGAGTGCGGTGGAGGACTTTGGCAACTTCTGGGCAACTTCTTAGAGATAATACTTGAATGTAAAATGGTTTCAAACAAGTCGAATAAATACTTCATTACCATTATATGATATAGATGCATGCTGCATGTGTAGAAGAGAATTTTAGGATAATAAATATGTATTTATTCTTGCTAGTTTGCGTCCAAAAACCCAACTCCACTCCTTGGAATATCAGCTGGTTTGGTGACCCTAAGGTCTCTAAATCAACTCTCAATCTCTCTTTTTTTTCTCTTTTCTCCTCTATTTTGGAGTTTGGAGTCTCCTTTAAATAATAATAAAAAAAAATAAAAATCCACTAATGTAATAACTTAAACATTAATATGTAATTAATACATGAGGAAACGATCCCTTAAACTAATGTAGCTCCGAAAGGTTCTTCCCACCATGATTTCTCCAGTTGAATCCAATTCTAACCCGCCCCCCCATGAGCAGCGCAAACACCTACCAAGATGTATCATGGCCGCACCCAAGGATTGATTGAACGTTTAACAAGATTTTACAGGACAAAATAACTAAAAATAACATGTCGATGGCTTAAGTTTTTTTTTTTTTTTTTCTTTTCTCAATGGTAAAGTTGGTTTCCCTTAATTCAAAATTGAAGTTATACTTTCACTTGCAAGACTATGAGTTTTTCTTTCTTTTTCCTTTCCCCATCATAAACCTTGCTATTGATACTTTCAAAGAGTTTCATGTCGATCATTTAGCATGTATTTCAAGAATCTAGGAGAGAAAATGTGGGAGGGTCCGGACAAGAGCAGGGTCCCCAAGACGTAGCTCAACTGATAGGAATAATAGCTAAGTATTGTAAAACCCTTTTCGACTTTCAAACTATCTTCTCACACTTTTTCCTAATAAGGTTTGCAGTGTCTCTCTCCAAAAAAAAAAAAAAAATTTATTATTATTATTTTTTTTGATTTGCATGTGTTAACTTTTAGATAGCTCAGCCCAAGCTCCACTGATCGGGACCAATTCGTAGGCCCAAGCTCAACCCAAGTTCTTCACTACTAAGTTAAAACCAATTCAAGTTTCTCTCTTCACTCTTAGCCCGTTGACCCGTTGTAATTCACCTCACTACTACACCTGAAGGCCCAAAATTTCACCTCACTACTACACCAGTAGTTCAACAGGGATGAAAATTTCAGCTCCACTTCCAGGCACCACTGACCTATTTAACAAATAATTACTCCCAATAATATATTGATAGATTGGTTTTTTTTTTTTATGTAGCGGTATATCTAGTCTAACTTAACCTACTCTTACTCCTAATCCCGGGGGGAGGGGGGGGGGAGGGAACTTACTCTATGGGAACCTACTCGATGGGGTGGCCCAATTGAGTCGGGGGAGCCTGGCGAGAACTGAATCACCGTCAGACCATACGGGTGCACCACCTACCTGCGTTGATGGATTGGTTTGGCTAGCATGATTTGTTAAAAAAAAATTCTAATATTATTTAATTTAAATTATAAATACAATTTTCAACTTTTTTTTTTATCTCACAAACACAAAATCATAAAATGTGCTACAATATTTTATTTTAAATAACTTTTTCCAAATAATCTCCTATCCAAACTCTAAATCATTAATCTAAAACTCCACAATCAACAGGAAATTTCAGTGCCCAGCTACACATTCGCCCTAGGAATTGCAGTTTTAGAAAAGAAATACAATCTTACCTTATGTTGCATTTTTTGACTCTTTTGAAGTAAGTTGTACTTTGACGAACAACAAAGTTCAATGCTTTAAGCTAGCAAACGAGGACCATATATTTTTCCTTTTTTATTTCCTTTTTGTCATACGAATGGAATTGGGAATTTGTGGATTTGATTTCTTTAAACAATTGAAGTATTTTATTTATTTATTTATTTATTTTTGGAATAGTTGTGAAGTAAAAGTTACGCATATATAGCACTCCTTCCACTATTACTTATGCCCCTTAAGATTTTAGAAAATCGTGACAGTAAATCATTGATGGTAATACCTAACTGATAAAATGATAGGAAATCCGGCCTCTCCAATTCCAATTATGCCCCATTGCATAAATTAATAGAATAGAATTTTGGTGTAAATTGATAGTATAATTTTGGTATAATCGTAAATTCTAATTAAATTGGTATAAAATTCACAATTATGCCGAAAACATTTTAGTTTATACTGTGATTGTACCAATTTACGCAACTAAACTAGATTGGACAGATCGAAATCCAAAGAGATAGGATAATAATAGATTTTTAAAAAAAAATATTAGCGGTTGAGATGTTTGTAATTCTCACAATCACAGTCTATTATCTTCATATATATATATATATATATATATATATATTTGAACCATTAAACGCATTGAATTTTTTCCTTTTTTTTGGTTCCTCATTATTATTACATTAGACAAGGGATAATTTCAGAAACCTCCCCTGAGGTTTTTGACAATTTTATTGAGCTCTCTGAGATTTGAAAAGTTATACATACCTCCCTTGTCATTCAAAATGATAATTTTACCCTTAAATATTTTAATAAAATTTCCTTATTTGGTATGTTTATATTTAGAATGAGTTTTAAAATTATTTTTTCATTCTTATTCCTTTTTTTTAATTTTTTACCTATAAAACTGTAGAACTACCACTATTGTCTCTATTTTCTATTATAACCAAATGTCGAATTAGTGATTTTTTTGACGAATTAATTTTATATGTAATCCAATATTTTTACTGATCTTTGTTTTCTAGTTTTTTGGTATTAAAATTAACAATAAATAAAAAAATGACCCAAAAGCACTACTAAATGATGATAATCCCACTACTTCAAAAATTCATAAACTCTAAATAAATTATTTCAATGTTTTCTTTTCTATCTTATAAATATAAATTTATAATAAAATACCATCAAAAGTATCATATCATAGTAATAAAATTATTATTATAGCTGTTTTTCAAATAGCAGATATGAATATGAAAAATTTGTCACATTTTCCTTATAATTATACTAAATAATCTTATAATTGTATAGGAAAATAAACTAAAACTCATCACACAAGGGTATTTTTGGGTATTCATTTAAAAATTGACAAAATCAATATTATTTTAAGGTTTTGTTACTAAAATTATCAAATCAAGGAAGGTAGGTGTAATTATCGAAACCTTAGGGGAGCTCAGTGAAATTGTCAGAAACCTCAGGGGAGGTTTCTGAAATTATCCCTAAAATTTAATAAAAAAAATTGGTTAGTTCCTTATAAGGGGAGCAGCTTTGCCCGTCTTTGTGCCCTAATGGTCCTCTATAAAATTGGGCAAATGTTAGGGAAGTCGCCAGTCTCGGCTTCTCTCCTGTGTCTCTAATCCTCGCTCAAACGCCGTCGCTCTTCCCCTCTTCGGCTTACTTCTGTCGCAGGTGACTTTCGCCTGGGATTCTTTCCTTGTGAGGCAAAAGTCACCTGTGACAGACAGGAATCGAAGAATTGAAGAGCCAAGGCGTTGTTGAGCGGATTTCTACTCAATTCTCAATTAAATTTCATTTATGGTGATAGGTCTTTTTTCGCTGGTTAGTTCTTAAGTGCCTCCCATATGTTTGTGCTAATGCCTCAGTCAGTAGTTGTAGTTTTTCTATTGCATTTTGTGTCTGTTAAGATTGAGGGATTAATTGTTTGTAAATCTTAGCCAACATTGTGCATTTAAAGATCCTCCCTTTTTTGATTGAAATCTGGAGTCGGGTTAATTAGTTTGCTCATGATCCGTGTCAGTCTCAGGATTATTTGTGTCTTGAATCTACAAGGTTCTCGCAGGATTATTCTTTTCGTTGTTGTGCATCATGCTTTTTGATTTCGATCAATGTATAGCTGAATTTGATTTGGCAGTGCTTTGTTAAAATGACATGAGAATTTTGATGTGTTTCTTCTGTAGATTATGATTACCATGCCAAGCTGCTATTGCTAGATGCGATCTAGAATTCTTCTATCCGCTAGAAGAATGAGATTGGCTTGCTATATGAGATTGTTGTTTGGTGGATTCTCAGTACCAATCCAAGCCATTGTAGCTAATGGAGGTCTAGATGTCTTTCATTAGCTGGATAATAAATTATATTAAATTCTTTTACCTTGCAAGGATCCTAAGATTTTTAATTAGGCCGTGTATCCGAAAAGCAGATGATGCTGGCTTAATTTGTTTCATTTGTTTACTTAATTAAGCAAACGTTTGTGTCTCAAAAATCATTAATTGATTCAAGAGTTATCAAACTTCAGTTGACAATTTTGGTAGGCTTGGAGAAAGTGACAGGCAATAGTTATGCAATGATAACAGTATGGGGTAAAGGTTTGTGCCTCGGTTTTCTTTTATTTTATGGCTGTAATGTTGAAAGAAATTGGTCACAAAAAATAGATTGCAGAGATGGGGAGTAGCAGTGGAGTCAGCTTCCTGTGTATTGTGTAGAGGTACTGATGAAACTATGGAACATTTGTTTTTCAGTTGAATTGTTTCCTCTGTAGTTTGGAACAATGCGCTGCTGCTCTGTTTAGCCTATTGGAGTTGTTTGCTTAGTCTGCAGAGCTGGAATGGATATGTGATCTCTAGAAGACTAATTCCTTTATTGATCAGGTAAAGTGGTTGGCTTTCTCTGCCATGCTATATCACCCATGGAGAGCAAGAAACCAAGGCTATCTATCAAAGAATCCCTGTATTCACTGTTAGCGTAGTTACCGCTGTGGTTGCATCAGTTAGAGATACAGTTGGAGGTTGGAAGAAGTTTCCTTGTACTAAGCCAAATTGGGATTTGGCTTTAAAGTTAGGACTGCCATTTCTGTGCTTTAAATGACAGGGTCCTCTGTAATAAAATAGTGTTTCTGAATTGATGTATTTGGAATATTGTATTCCTTGGCTGCACTACTGGCTACTTTATTGTTGATCAGTGAAGAGGGTTCATGTTGCTATAGAAAAGAAAAAATGAAGAGAGTCTCAGGTTGTGAGGAACTTGTAGTAATATGTTTCTGTTTGTAATTAATTTAGTTAATTGTTCTGCATTTAGATCAATTTTTGTTCCACATAATCTTAGCATGTAGTTGGTCATCTCATGTTACTTGCATTTTACATTATTTCACAAAGGATATTGCAAAAGGGCTTTGGAGATGGTCGTATGACTGCCTCTTTTGGGGATCTGATAAGAATTATTCAAGCTGCATTTTCTTGATTTTCAGGTGTGGAATGGTGTAGAAGCAATTTGCGTCACTATTTATCTTTGAATTCCTGTGTTGTTTTCTGCATGGTGGAAACAAAATGCCTTGAGATGTCGCTATTTTAAGGATGACTTTTATATAGAAAAGAAATTTATGATTAACTACTCCTAGCAACACATTATTCATTAACAATTGAGTTAACAGGTCTGACCTCTGACAAATAATATTGATGCTTTGCCTTTCATAGCCTCATGGACTGCAGGTGAACTTCTCTCGCAGATGTTAGTTATTGGAACCTAAAGCACCAGATGGAGCTTCTATGGCCTTTGGCTGATCTGGCTTTTTTGTCGACATCTTTTTGGACTTCTGGATCTAATTCATTTTAAGTCCAAGTTGTTTGTTACTATGCACCCCTTGTTGTAGACAGGATTGGTGTATCAGATTAAAGATATCCTCTTTGTAACAAAGTTTGGTTTGTAAACTGCACTTGCAAGTACGCTTTCTCTAGAGTTTTGGACAACTAGTGTCAGATTGAGTGCGATTTCTTTTGTTGTATAGCTTATTGTTTGGAGCCCATGCTATATAGCTTGTCACAGTGCTGAAGAGGTTCAATTTTTTTGTAATTTATCTTGACACTTCACATAGCTCTTTACATGAAATCCAGTACGCATTTTGGGTGAGATTTAGATGAGGGTCTCCAGTAAGCATTTTGGGTTGAGATTCAGCGGAAGGTACCAGGCCCTCTACCTCACAAGTTTCCGTTCTCTCCCCACCATCCCACAGCACCTAAAATTCTAAAAAGTGGCTCAGCAGTCACGACCACTCACAGCAGATGCCTTGCAAGGGTGCCGACATTTAAGAAGTGAAACATGCTACTATGTTTGGAAACTGAATATTAACTTCGAGGTTATTTCATCTCTGTATCCTGGAGGTTTTGCGTAATTTCAATTTAGTCCTTGAAGTTTAATTTGTTACGTGAGCTTAACAGTTTCAATTGACTAATTATCACTCCACAAGTTTGATTCAACCTAAGGGCCTGTAATAAGATTGAAGTCCGAAATCTGACAATTAAATGCTGAAAGTATTAATTTACTGAATTGATTAGGTTATATTTGTTTGATAACTAACCAAATTATAGTGCTGAATTGAAATATCGCAGAAATATTATTTTTTATCTTTAAAAAATTGCCTTTATTTGTGTATCTAGAGGGAGAGAGAAAAGTATGTATATGTGCGTTTGAGAGAGAGCGAGAGAGAGACAATAATATAACAATTTAGAGGTGGTGTTTAAGTGTGAATATTTTGTAGGAGAGTGTATATTTGCACGAGTGTGTGTGTATGAACAGAAAGAGAACGAATGTGTATTTTTTGCGAGAACATGTATGAGAATGTGTTTTGTGTATGAGAGTTATAGTATGTGTAGTACATTCATTAAATTCAGTGAAAAATTTTCACCTAAAATTAAGCAATGCTTAATATATTAAGTGGTACGACATTTCCGTTATCAAACATACTGAATTCAAAAAGTTCTAAATGAATTAATTTTTAGCATTAAGTGGAGTTGTCAAGCAATCAAATATACTGAATTCAAAAAGTTGTACATGAATTACGTAATTTTTAGCATTAAGTAGAGTTGTCAAACAAGCACTAAAAATAGAAAAACTAAAGCACCTTTGCATTCAAGCTGATGTTCGTCTGTCTGAACGTTGGGAGAATATTAGCTCATTAAATGTCATTGGCTATTTAAAATGCAATTTTTTTTTTTATGAAAAGTTGAGAAGCAATTAGAATTTAGATCAACTAAGGTTAAGTTTGGATCGAGAGATTTGACAAAAAATTTGAAATTCTCTCAAAACCCTTTAGATTGAGCGGATGAATTGAGGGATATTTAGATTTATAATCTACCAATTATTTTAGTGTTTAAATATTTTTCAATAATTAATAGATTGCAAACCCAAATACCTCCAAAGTAATTCAAACAAGGTGAGAGAGATTTGAGAGAATTTCAAACCTTTCTTTCGCCAAATGCCTCAATTCAAAAGAAGGAAATTGAAATGTTTTTGTGATATATATTGCCTTTGAAAGTTTCCTCCTTTTTTTTTTTTTGGATTATATGGTTATTTAAGTTTATCGTTTGTCTTTATTGGAATTTCCGCGGTGACGTAACCCATTTCAACTGTATATTTGCCAAAGAAATTAACATATAACCAAAATCGTTGAGAGGGGGCAAATCTGCCTAATACTTAAATTTAAGGATGCAAACTGAAATTAAACGAATGGCAAAATGGAATTCACCCTAATACTATTGTGTTACCGCATTCACTGGGGTGTTGGAGCAAATTCTATGTCCTTTTTACTCAATTATTTTATGATTGATACATTTTCATTTCCTTTCTCTAATAGAATTATCAGTACAATTTTCTGCGGATTTGCTTTGACAATGACCATATGGATGGTATAGATGCCTGCTGAGTAATTTTTCTGCAAAGGAGGGATACATTGGTCTCGTGCCCCAAAAAAAGGGAGAAAGTGGAGAGGAAAGGAGCAAGGCACACATGAACGAGTTGTAATTCAAATTGAATTGTTTGTACATTCTTACAATAGACACGTAATTATTATTCATGAGACCCACATGAACAGTAATATAATATTATATCTCTGTTGTAAGGATGTATAATCTGTTCAATTTGAATTACAATCCGTTCAAAAATCGTTACACCGTTCCAGACGATTGTCAGTGATAACTGTCCGTGCCCTTACTTCGAGAGGAGGTAATCATGGTGATAGTAGGAGTTTTCCCCATGAATAATTTCTCTCAATGAAACAAGAAACTAATGTGGAATTATGATAGAAGTACAATAACATTGATAGGAAATCCCATTTTACATCAACAATTAATAAATTTTCTTTTTCAAACCCTTCCATCCCTCCCTACACTTTTGCCACTCCTAACTTCCAGACACATAATTTGAACTCTAAATCTGACTAGGAGAAGGCCTCTGTGAGCCCTTCCGTGACCACTGGACAATAATTAATAAGCAATATCATCTAAAAACCAAATCTACATCACTAGTTTGTCGCAGTTTTGTGACTTTCGCCATAGGAAAATATGTATACTTGGACTTCGAATTTTCTGTCTTTAAATTAGTCTCCATCCCCTTTATCCCCAAATATGTAGTCTTTGAGACTTTCGAGACTAATTTGGGGACAGAACATTCGAAACCGTATGCTTGGTACTTGTCACTTTACAAACATGGATGGTAAGGAAAATTTGCTGCTGTGTTTGGAGTGTTGAGAGAATTGGAATTTGCGTGGAAATGAACTTGGATTTTATAGAATTTAGTAATATAATTTCTGTAGAATACAATTTTAATTCCAGACAAATTTCAATCCTCTCAAGGGACCTCCCACAGCCTTGAGAATAAAACAAACATGGTCAAGTATTCCCCGAGACCTGCAAGGATCATCAATTAAAGAGCTGAATCAGTCTGCAGAATTTAAGCCATCAAAAATAATTTGTAAAATGAGATTTTGACCAAATTTGAATAGCTCTACCTCTGTATTTAGTTACAAAATATATTCACTAAATGCACAATTGTCTAATGAAAAATAACACGTTTATCTTCCATAATATTTGTCATGTGTATCATTGTACCCTAGCCTTGGACTCTATTCAACCGGTTTATTCATGTTTTTCAAAAAAAAAAAAAAAAAAAAACTTGACAGTCGAAGCATGAATCTTACAATCACTTGGCTAATGTCTCTGACCGCTTCTATATATGCTAGGTGTTGAGGACATCTTTTTTGTCTATTGTTAGATTGAAATAGTAATTAAAGAGTATTGATGCTATCAATAGGCATTAAATTAAACAATATATGCTGATTGCATATGTATAGTCACAAACCTCACAACTTTACCAAGTGTTGATTACCAAAATGCTGCATACACACAATTTCTAGGAAAGCACGATGAATACCAACATTTTCATAATTCGAGTGGAGTAATACTTGCATGAATAACCCACAACCCTGCCGCAGAAATGGAATGGAAACTAAACAAAAAGTGGTATTGTGAAAGGTAGAGTTAGTGATAAATACCATGCCTAAATGTCCTCTTCAATCATTCCTACTCCCACGTATTTTGCAGGACGCATGGCAAAACACCTGTTAAAAACTCATCGAGCAAATGAAAGAAGATCAAAACAATTGAGAAAATTAAATAATAAATAAAAAAACATGTCGAAAATCATACTTGACCTCCCTCCCTCTTAATATTTTCGGGTTTTTGCACTTGCTGAATTTCGGTCACACTTGTAAATTTCAAAACCTCATATTTTTACACCTTTTTTTTTAATTTTTGAAAATTATAAATTTTATGTGTATCAAAAGTTCTCAACGAAAACTTCAATATACTGCAGTCATATCTTGGCAAAGCCGAGTAAATCAATGGTAATATGAAAAAACAAGAAAAAAAGAAGAATGGAATAAGTAGAATGAAAGTAAGAGTTGAAAAAGAAGTACCTGAGTCTGAAGAAGTTGAAGTTTGCCCTTTTGGCTCGAAGAATGACTTGACCGTGCTGGTTTCTGTCGCAGGTGACTTTCGCATAAGCGAACAAGTGGAGAGGAAGGATGTATCTACGAGTCCAACCTCCATTTGCATACACCATTAGCATTACTGCATCTTCAAGACCACCGTGATCATGATCTTGATTACTGCTGTTGAAGGTTGTGGCCATTATTCTTGTGGATCTACCTGGTTTGATCCTCAAAATTTTCTTGAATTCATCAGGTCTAGCAGGGTAAACCCACATTCTAATTTCAATATTGTACAATGTCCTATTTTCTAGCACAGTAACTCTATTTCCCATTCTTTCACAAAATTTTGCCCTTTCTGTGACACCCCTTTTTTTGTTGGTTTGGTCCGGCTAGACTTGATCAAAAAATTGCAAGAGATGGAAACTATAGGTGCTCGTGTGCTGGTGTAGTAGGGAATTAACTGAGAGAGAAAGAGTGAATGGGATGTCAGTGCTGGTGTACTGATATGTGCCAAAAATAATGCCTCGTGAGGAAGTGGAAGCCTGGTAATTTATAGAAATGGAAGACCCTTTTTCTATTTTTTCATACTTAGCATGGCAAATTTTATGATTATGCAAAAACTCAATCGGAAAGGATGTCACACTTCAAGTGGTTATCTTTTGAAAATTTTTTTTTGGTGGGTTTTTTTAACTTGGTACGGTTGGATTGGTTTTTTGTTCTTAGATGCTTGCTTGTGACGATTAATTAAGACCAACCTTTTAGACTTCTTTAACAAAATGGGACGCAAAGATGTCAATTTTTACACTGTTTGAAAGTAATATGGAAACTCAACTTGTCATACTATTGTGTATATTCTTAAATTATTGAGTAAATCAATAAAATTAGAGAATCTGTTATAGTTTGAAATCCAAAAATCGCAAGCATGGTGTATTAATTAAGTTTTCAACTTGCCACATAAATTACTAAAATTTAAGAAAAGGGATTTTTTTTTTTTTAAGTTTAAGTGAGAGGTCTCAGACCTGGGATTTCTTACTTACACTTCCTTTCCCGTACCGCCCAATCCAATTTTTTATAAGAGTAATTTTTCGTAGAAAGGGAATTATTAGTTGTAATGTTGTTGAATTAAGCTTCGTACTTAAAGAAGTAGGAACCCCTCTTAATGAGTGCCCGATGCCTATTAGCCAAAAAAAGAATTTAACATGGACCTTTTAATTAAAACCCAGAAAAAAAAAAAGAACAAGAAGAAGAATTTAGGAACTACATGTGTTTTTTTTTTTTAAAAAAAAAAAAAAAAAGGCAAGAGAACATATATTGCTTATAATACGTAACTTAATTATGACCATATAGCACATTCGGCAAAAAAATCTGCATCTTTCATCTTTCAATTACTCTCCCTTTCTTGAATATCAAGAATAACCTTTTTGACTGTTCTTATAACAACCTTTCGAAGTCAACAAAAGAATTTGATTTCTTGTCATGACAAGGAGTTATACATTACCTTCAAGCGGTCCATTCTGCTTCATAGTACTACTGTACATGCAAGTACGCAAAAGTGGTAATATACGAGCCCATATTTTGTAGAAGGTGCAAAAGTTTGATTCTACTTCACAGCTTTGTGCTTCTTGCTTTGGAAGGCAGCTATAGCAACTGATTTTCCTTTGAATTTCGTCTTTTCTTTTCTTTTCTTTTTCTTTTGAAACTTTAAAATTTTTAAAAAGTAAACAAATTATGGTTTATACAGAATTGCAACTTTTCTTTTCTTTTTTTTTCACTTTGTAGATGAAATGAATTCTGGCTACCAAGGACACATATCCACATCTCTTTTTGACGTGAAAATGGGAAAAATGATACCATGTAAGAAAGCATCAAAGCTCATCCTATTTGTTACGAGTAAGCTTCTTCTATCCTCTTTTTCTTTCTCTCAAATGTCAGTTTAACTCTTTCCTTCAGCAGCAAGCAAGCTAAAATAGACCTACCAAAGTAGTCTCCAACGTTCCACAGAGTGAGAATCTTCTTTGTGTTTTCTTCCCCCACAATCACGCATGCTTTTAATCACTTTCTTGAAAATATATATCCTCTCTAATCAAGTAGATCCAGCATCGGGGCTCCTTCCATGAAAGAACAATAACAAAACAAGTTCCTAGTCCATGATTAAAGAGGAAATGTGAAATTAATCTATATATATAAACAGAAAAAAATTCCTACTTTTTTTTTTTTTGGTCCCAAAATCTCCTGCTAGAATGGCACCGGATGCGTACAAATTCATCTGACAGCACGTTTGACTTTCCAATTCCGGCCAGCCAAGCTAATTGCCTAATACTAGTAGTCAAGCTTGACCACAGCTCAAGTGGCTGTCCCCAAAACCACCACTACCAGCCCAAGTAGCTAAATTCGAATTCGGAACATCAAGCTATCACCTTAGTAGTTTCTATAATGAAAATTTTGAATATCCTTTTCAATATCATATTTTTAAGTTAAAGAGTAAGTTTTTTATACACTGTTAGTGTACAATTTTTTTTTATATATATTAACAAGTTTAGATCATATCAATAACATGAATTTAAATTTGAAATTTAAAACATACACATGTGGCATACATCTATAGCTGTTAGTGTAAAAAAAAATAACTATATTGTCAGTGTATAAAAAGTTAATTCAAAGTTAAATTCACCGTTAAATGATAAAATAAGTGACTTTTAACTGTTAGATTATAACAATTTCAATTAGTTAAATTATAGGGTTTTCCTCTAAGTATACATTAGTCAATTTCCCAGGGCTCAATTTTTTTTCGTCTGTTTCAATTAGTCTATTTGTATCAATTTAAAATCGTTGGAAGAAATTCACAAGAAAGAAGTTGGAATGCCAGTGAATAAAAAACAAATGTATTTCAAACATGACAAGAAGATTCAAATGAGCCTAGAAGTATATAACCTATATAATTATACCGGTGGTGGAAAGTTCGTCGGGAAAATCATCAATATTCTGTAAAGCTGCGAGTATCTAGTCGATAGCACAAAGCAAAGAGCTATATACATTGACCAACCAAGATAGTTTACAAAGTTTCCTCAAGGCACGAGTCAATATATATATATATATATGTGTGTGTGTGTGATGACTGGAAAATTCGTTCATATTTTCTTAAAATTCCCTCTTATTTTGATAAATTATTTTATAATATCTGTACTACTCATTTACTCCCTTAATAGTTGTAAGAAATAATAGAATTAAGAGTTTTGCCCTTAGTTTTATAATTAGGGCAAATTAGGGTTTTCACGACTTTTGGTAGTGTGATTAATTATGGAGGTGTGTGTACTAAATTCGGTGGTTAAGAGTGATTTTTAGATAAGAGAAAGTGTGATTAGAAGTGATAATAATAAGTTAGTGAATCATAAGTTAAAACACTAGTACAGGCGAGTTAAGGAAAAACGGTGTGAACTGACATGTACCGTTTGTTATCGATTAAATACACCACTTGAACACTACTTTATTACCTTAATCTCCTTGCTATTATATCAGAAATATCAGCCCTTCATTAGCCTTAAAGTGGCCAAAAATGTTGACCAAGAAAAGAGGAAAACAAGGAAAAAATTTGAGACTTAATCTTGCGGTGACACTTGGCGGCAATCCATCCAATTTTGACCAAACCAATTTCCTATCTTCTTATTTTTCTTTTGGCTTCATTTCTTCTTCATGTTGGCCGAGCTGGAAGAGAGGGAAAAGAGAGAAAAACCACTTCAACTCCAACCTTGAATCCATCTTGTTTGAGTGAAATCTCAAAAACTAAACCGATTAAACCTTTTGGTATTGGGACAGCTTTGTGTGGTAAAATTTTGGGAAAAAAGGGGTTTAGTTTTTATTTACAAGCAGCTTTTGGAAGGTATAATGCTTGCCCTTCCTTTTGTCTTACTTATTCTTGCTAAAATTGGAAAAGAAGCCTATGTCCTTGGTTCACTATAGTTGATTATTTAGTTTTGGATAATATAGTGGAATGTTTAGCTAGGGTTTACATTTTTCAGCCTTGCTTATGGTTGTTTATCTAGTAATTGATGGTATTGAGTTGGTAATTGATAGTTTTGATGATATAGTACTTGATAGTAGTGAGTTAGGATATAAATTTAGAGTAGAAGTGAATTTCCAGTTTTGATAGTGGAATCTGCCCTGTTTTTGCACTGTATGTTCGTCCATGAGAGAGGCCAAATCAGGTCTTGCTCAAAACATAAAAAGTTGTAGGGAATTGAGTTAACTAGATACCTGTAAAATTTCAGCTCAATCAGAGCACTGCAGCTTGTGAAATGACTAAAATACCCCTGACTGCCAAATGCCCAGTTTAACCAATAGTTTTCTGTTTTCTCTGAGATTTCATTTTGTGACCTTGAAGATGCAAGAACTGGGTGCTGATGTCTTCATAGGAAATGTAGGTATCTGTCTTAGTTTCGAAACGCCATAAAATTTACCCAAATTTGATAAGCGTAGCTTCAGTTGTGACCAAGACGCTGGAAGATGTCAAACCTGTTACTTAGTTATTTGTCTTTAAAACTAGTTTCCATCTTTGATTTTGATGGTTGCATTACTAGAATTGCCTTGTATTTGGATGACAATGAGCCTAGTTGAAGGGCTATTGTGTTAAAATTGCTTATGTGTGAATTTGGGCTGAGTTGAGGAAAATAATGAAGCCATAAATGGCTGGAAAATAACTAAATACAAAGGGCATGCCGCTCAAATTTTCACTCGAGGGTTAAGCGTGTGTACTCACGACTTGAGCGAAGATTTGAGGTCGAATTGAACTTGGATTGTCTATGGTATTCGTGTCTTCTTTCATAGAGGTATATAAGTTAAAATTTGGTTGAAACTCGTATCCTTGGAAAAATGAAAGTAGCGACCATTTGGAATATGTTTTCCTCGTCTTTTAGCCACTTTACGAACTTAAACGTTTTAACCGCTTCCTTATCGAAACTAAAAGAGCGAGCATGAGTTTTCTAGGGTGTGATAAGTCAAATGAATACTACTTAAATGAGTTTCATTTATTTGATTTTCTTGAAGCGAAACTCTTATGTTTCGAACTCTAAAAAGTTCTACATTCTTAAATGATATTTTATCGCAGATTTGGATTCCAACCAAGGAGTTGGATCTGAATGTGATTTTGAAAAGCACTAGACCTTTGGTGAGTGCTTCCAAATACATGATTGAGCTTGATACTTGCTTTAAATCCTTTACCAATGTGATCGGATAAGATTTGCTTGGTTTAGTCGGGCAAGTGTGTACTTTATCGCACTCGATCTAAGTCAACTAAACACTTGATATCTCATTCATGCTTGTACAAGTAACTTGATTTGCATTGACCTGTACTTGTATTTGTACTTGTACTTGACTTGTAAGTGTTGAGCAGCAGTATGTACCACACTCTATCCGAGTGGGAGGTGCCTCTCATTTTCGTCTCCGTACTTTTTCTCTTGACTAAATCGATTGGTCATCGACTTTGTTGACTACTTGGGAACTCAAACCCCACTGGCTAGTTAATCG